AAAAAAAAAAAAAAAAAAAAAAGGACGAATCAGCAACGAATTCAAGGGAGAAAAAATTTAGAGCTCCTTACTCCTGACGCTAGGCAAAAAACTGGAGACTTGTCAGCAGGTGGGGGGTTTTGGCCACCAGCAGGGGCCGCCCCTTGGCTGGTTAAGTCTTCTGTTTTGTGCCTAACGTCCTTCTCCTGCAGGGGGCGATATACCCTACGGTACATGATCTACGATCTGTTCCCTGTGTCCTTCAATGAACAGAAGAGAAAGCAGTGTTTTAAATATATTAATTTCAATATACCATCAAAAGTTCAAGCTTTTGTTTTGATATTTACCAACGTACATGCATATTTGTGAAAGCAAGCACTGACTGTTGTTGATCACATTAGAGATTATTAAAGTTGTGGACACAGGTTTAGTGTACATTATTGCGTTTAAATTTGTGCTAAACATATACAAACCCTGTATGTTCTATTCACGCGCATTTAACATGCATCTGCATCTGCATTCAGATGTGCTGCATCTGCATTCAGAATAAGAATTATTTTCCAAGTGACCCACTGAAAAGCCATAATGCAATGCAAATGCGGTTTACTCATTGATATGATACAATTATCTCGCTAATGATAAAGATCAGTATCTAGTTTTTTCACTAACACCGAAAGTACTCTTTAGAAAAAGAAAAAAAACGGGATTTTTTTAAGCAAACAAAAAAAAGTAGTTTGATGCCTTTTTACCTTCTCGGAGCGCCACTTTCTCATAAGGAGGATATTTAGCCTTGCTAGTTATTACAGATAGATCCTCTCGACTTTTCTTTAATATCTTTTTAGCCCCCCTCAAGCCTCGCAGCTTCCAAAATTCAGCTCTTGGTCCCGAAGATGGCTGGGGTTTGAGGACATTCTCTAAGCTAGCATACTGCTCTGCCCTAAAGAAGATAAAACCGTAAGCATAGGAGTACTATGGAAAGAGACATTGTAAATACGTAAAGCAGAACTCCAGGAATTTGAAACATTAACCCTTGCAGTTATGGTACCTCCGCACTGCAAGGGTTAACTGCTTGTTTTGTCTAGGGAGCGGAAAAAAAGACACACTCACCCAATCCTTGGTCCTGCCTGACTACTAGACTGGTTCCCACAGCCTCTTCTCCCCGGGCCGGTGGTCTAAGGATCTGTGAAGTCATCACGGATAATGCAGAGGAACATACCTTATTCTTACCATATACCATATTCTTGTTTTCTCCCACCTATGCATTTGTTGCAACCTCGCCAACACCCCTTTCCCCCTCTTCAACTACAACCTTGTCAGTTTCACACTCACCCTATCCCCAACCCTAAATCCCCCTACACGGCACACTGTCACCCAGAGAACCCTTCTCTTCTCCACTCTGCTACAGACTACCTCTATGACAAAATCTCACCCCTGTCCTGCCTGGCAACTTGTGTCTAACAGCTCACTCTCATCCTCCCTAGACACCTTAGCTCCCCTCACTACACGCAGACTTAGACCACGTCCGCTACAACTGTAAAAAGACATAGCCGCACTCACGAGCGACTGTGGCGGAAAACTAGGTCTCTGCAAGACTTCACCCTGTATAAAGCTGCCCTCCTAAAATACACTGCTCAAAAAAATTAAAGGAACACTTTTTAATCAGAGTATAGCATCAAGTCAATGAAATCCTGGGATATTGATCAGGTCAGCCAAGTAGCAGAGGGGGTCATTAATCAGTTTCAGCTGCTTTGGTGTTAATGAAATTAACAACAGGTGCACTAGATGGGCAACAATGAGACGACCTCCAAAACAGGAATGGTTTTACAGGTGGAGGCCACTTAAATTTTTTCCCTACTCATCTTTTCTGACTGTTTTTCACTAGTTTTGCATTTGGCTAGAGTCAGTGTCACTACTGGTAGCATGAGGCGATACCTGGACCCTATAGAGATTGCACAGGCATGCCAACTCCTCCAGGATGGTAAATCAATACGTGCCACTGGCAGAAGGTTTGCGGTGTCTCCCAGCACAGTCTCAAGAGCATGGAGGAGATTCCAGGACTCAGGCAGTTACTCTATGAGAGCTGGACAGGGCCGTAGAAGGTCTTAACCCATCAGCAGGACCAGTATCTGCTCCTTTGTGCAAGGAGGAACAGGATGAGCACTGCCAGAGCCCTACAAAATGACCTCCAGCAGGCCACTGGTGTGAATGTCTCCGACCAATCAAACAGACTTCATGAGGGTCGCCTGAGGGCCCGACGTCCTCTAGTGGCTCTGTGTTCACTGCCCGGCACCATGGAGGTCGATTGGCATTTGCCATTGAACAGCAGAATTGGCAGGCCCGCCACTGGCGCCCTATGCTTTTCACAGATGAGAGCAGATTCACCCTGAGCACATGTGACATACGTGAAAGGGTCTGGAGAAGCCGTGAAGAACGTTATGCTGCCTGTAACATAGTTCAGCTTGACTGGTTGAGTGGTGGGTCAGTGATGGTCTGGGGAGGCATATCCATGGAGGGACGCACAGACCTCTACAGGCTAGACAATGGCACCCTGACTGCCATTAGGTATCGGGATAAAATCCTTGGACCCATTATGGAGACCCTACGCTGGTGCAGTGGGTCTTGGGTTCCTCCTGGTGCACGACAATGCCTGGCCTCATATGGCAAGAGTATGCAGCCAGTTGCTTGAGGATGAAGGAATTGATACCATTAAATGGCCCCCATGCTCGCCTGACCTGAATCCAATAGAACACCCCTGGGACATTATGTCTTGGTTGATCCGACGCCGCCAGGTTGCACCTGAGCCTGTTCAGGAGCTCAGTGATGCCCTGGTCCAGATCTGGGAGTAGATACCCCAGGACGCCATCGGTCCTCTCATTAGGAGCATGCCCCGTTGTCAGGCACCCATACAAGCACGTGGGAGCCATACAAACTAATGAGTACCATTTTGAGTTGCTGCAATGACATTTCAGCACAATGGACTAGCCTTCTGCATCATTTGTTCACTTTGATTTTTGGGGTGTCTTTGAATTCAGCCCTCTGTAGGTTGATAATTTTTCATTTTCATCAAACGATGTGGCACTATTTCGTTCCTAAAACATTACCCAGTCCAGTATACAGTAGATATCCAGCATTATATTTTTCTCCATTGAGTTTTGATGTGTTTTCAAAGTGTTCCTTTAATTTTTTGGAGCAGTATACAATTACTCCCTCCGTACTGCCAAACAAACTTAATTTTGTCACTCTCATTAACACACACTCATCCAAACCTCGTCAACTCTTTTCTACCTTTAAGTCCCCCTCCAACTCAAAATAGATACAATTTGGGATCAGATCGCCACTGTCCAGTCATCTTCCCCTATTAATGTACCAGAGCCACCATCACACTTGTTATTTTCCTCTTGGTGGTTACAAAGCTTCTCTCCGACACCCACCTCACCACTTGCCACCTAGACCCTCAACACTACTTTGGTCACCCGCTTCCTCTATCCTACACTCTCTTACTCACATTTTCAATCTTTCACTCTCTACAGGCATCTTTCCGTCCCCTCTAAAACATGCGCTGGTCACCCCAATACCCAAAAAACCCTCACTGGACCCTACCAACCTCAACAATCTCAGACCTATTTCTTTACTCCCATTCACCTCCAAACTACTAGAACGCCTTTATCTACAACCGTCTGAGTCACCACCTCGCTAATAAAAACGTTTTGGACCCCTTACAATCCAGCTTTCGCTCCGCACACTCCACTGAAACCGCTCTCTTAAAACTCACCAATGACCTACTAACTGCTAAAAACAATGGCCACTACTCATTCTTGCTGGTAGACCTTTATGCTGCTTTTGACACTGTTGATCACCTGCTCCGCCTCAAAAAAACTCCTCGCTTGGTCTACAAGATGCTGCTCTCTCATGGTTATCCTCCTACCTAGCTAAGCGCTCCTTTAGTGTCACCTACAAATCTAACCCCTCCCCTCCTCTTTCTGTAGGGGTTCCCCAAGGCTCTGTCCTTGGACTCCTTCTCTTCTCTATCTACACCACCTCTCTTGGTCAGTTAATAACCTTACATGGCTTCCAATACCATCTCTATGCCGATGACACTCAAATATATCTTTCTACTCCACAACTCAGCCCCTCAGTGTCCTTGCGTGTAACTAATCTACTAACTGACAAAGCCGTCTGGATGTCACAACACTTCTTAAAACTCAACCTTTCAAAAACTGAGCTCTTGATATTTCCTCCTGCCCGAGCACCTTCCCCCAACATTTGCCTCGAGATTGATAACACAACCATCCATCCCTCCCCTCATGCCAAGGTGCTAGGTGTCATCCTGGACTCGGACCTCACCTTTCTTCCCCACATCCAATCACTATCCAAATCCTAATAATCAATACGATCTGCGCCAGTAGAGTGTAGTGAACGTTACCAAGCACTAATGATCATAAAATCAGAATGAATATAAATAATATGCCGAGCACATTATTTACAATCCAAATCCTGCCGCCTTCACCTTCGTAACATCTCCAAAATACGCCCCTTCCTCACCAATGAAACCATTAAGCTACTCATCCACTCCCTTGTTATCTCCTGTCTTGACTATTGCAACTCCCTCCTCATTGGCCTTCCACTACACAGGCTATCCCCCTTCAGTCTATCATGAATGCAGCTGCTAGACTCATCCACCTGACCAACCTCTCAGTGTCTGCAACCTCCCTCTGCCAATCCCTGCACTGGCTTCCACTCATCCAAAGGATAGAATTCAAAAATATTAACTATCACTTATAAAGCCATCCACAACTCTGCCCCCGGATATGTCTCAAAATATTACCCTAACCGTCCCCTCTGCTCCTCCCAAGACCACCTGCTTTCCAGGTCTCTTGTCAACTCCTCCCATACTCGCCTCCAGGACTTCTCTAGAGAGTCTCTCATCCTCTGGAACTCTTTACCCCAACCTGTCCATCTCCCACCTTGACTGCCTTTAGGTGTTCCCTAAAGACTCATCTCTTCAGGGAAGCCTATCCCACCTCAACCTAACCACTGAACCATCACATTCTCAAACAATTCATCCCCACACAGCTACCTCCTCATGTATCACTTGACCCTCCCTTTTAGATTGTAAGCCCTCAGGGACAGGGCACTCCTTACCATCTTGTCTTGAATTGTATTGTGATTGCAATGTCTTCCTTATATTGTAAAGCGCTGCGCAAACTGTTGGTGCTATATAAATCCTGTATAATAATAATACCATAGCCGTAGCATAGTGGCAGAGAGGCGAGTGGTCACTGCCACAGGACTGAGGATCGGGTGAGTGTTTCTTATTTATTTTCACCCCTAGAGAAAAACGAGCAGTTAACCCTTGCAATGTGGGGGTAGCCCCACTGCAAGGGTTAACTTTTAAAAATCCGGGAGTTCTTTAAATATAAAATATAAAAAAGATCAGAATTATAAAATTAAATTTACCTTGACTTATTTGGTATAATTCCTTTTTTCATCTCCTTCAAATCTTTTCCAACACGGGTAGCAAGCCAATTCCCCAATTTTCCACGGTGCATTGTGTCGAAAACATGGAATATCTCACCCCTTGTAAAACTCAGGCCAGATGGGGTATCTGCTTCATATTCAAAGTGTGTACGAATATAGAAGGAGTCACCCAAATTAGACTTAATCATTTTTCTGTAAACTAAAACAAAATTTGTGTCAGAAAATAGCAAGTGACAGGGATGTACTTTATACAACACAACTGCAAGCTGGTCTGAAATTACATAAAATAGGCCTGCTGACAGTCAATATCCAGGCTGCATTTACAGGAAAAAATAAATGTATATATATATTTTACTCAGAATGTTTTCTATAATTGGACACGCCAGTGCACAATACAGTTATACTGCGAAATAAGCACACAAATTAATTGAATGCAAGACAAAACACATCTCTCACCTTCCTATAAATGTGTGGCTAATGTTAATTTATTCAAAACACCCGAATCAATCTGGAAGCAACAAACTCAAAGAATTGCCCTTGCTGTAACAGGATTTTTTCTTTTAACATCAAAGGCGAGTGTCTTGCACTACATGCCTACCCACGTATGCCAGGTTCTCTAAAAAGGTGGATCCCAAGCAACTTATTGGAATTATGCAAGACAGAACTGAAACTAAACAAACTTTCAGTGCTCATGGTACTTACTGTCTTCTTTACCCTGTGTCAGTAATATAATTTCTTCATTTTGTGGGATGTTCATTAGATACTGCACTGCATCTTCACGTGTCGTGTTATGGAAACTAGTTTCATTGACCTGTAAATAGCAACATTACAAAGGTTTTGAAACTCTGTATTTTTTCAGCATTCAGTTCTAATATAACAAAAATATGGAACTATCTACAGAACACTTTTTACTCTTCTTTAAAGGAATCATCTAACTTATTCAGTTATACCCTATCACAAATACAACCGTGCAAAACATCAAACTGTGTGGTGCTTGTGCATAAACCTTGTGCATGATATAGCTGAGCAGGCAGAGCTTGAGTAAACCCTGTCATATTCTGAAGCCATGCACCCCCCCCCCCCCCTCCATTTCATTTTTTTCCCTATTTTCCAAACCCCCCCCCCCCCCCCCCCCTATTTTTCAGACAGCGATTAGAGCGATCTCCAAGCTGAAAGAAGGCCAAAAAAAAAAAGATGATCAAAAATAGGAAGGAAGGAAGAAGAATGAGAAAAGATCTGCTATTCCACTCGGCAACTTACCAACTTACACACCTCTGGAGAAACAAAACGGAAAAAAAAAAATGTAGCAACCAAATTATATCAAAACATTGGAAGGGAATTATTCAACCTCGCTGTGCGATATTCTCTCGCATTAATATCATGAGCACGTTTAAAACAGATCTGGAGTAGTTTGCTGACATTTCAGTGCAATTAAACATCTAGCAGCGGTGAGACAATAGTTTGACCACTTGGTGGAGTGTCTCGTCATGTGCATAACAGGAAGTCCAAGCAAGCAGTGAACAGGATCTAGAGGGATTGGAACGTCCATCAGTGACTCAAGTAAGAACACAACCATATTCTAGGACATTACCAATAAATATGATAGACTTCCCACATGTTTAGAACTTGGGATGACCAGGTTTATCGAGCGTAGGAGGTTCGGAGTATGGTACCAGTGAAACAAGATCTTATATAGATTTTCCTTGTACAAAGTACATATGGAAGATCTATTTGCATCACTCCATGTCTCCTCCCAGTCTTCCGTGTCCAACACTCAGCCCAATAAGAGTTTCCCACTAGATCATATATTTGTGTTTAGGTAAGGGATCGATTGAAATGGTGTTCCAAGGATCTATTGATAATGGAAATAGGACCCTTACCTGTAGGGCCCTCTAAACACAGCTTCTCAAAAGGGGTTAGTTTGGGGAAAATCAGAGTAGGGGAGAGAGTAAATAAGCAAAATGTTTATCAGGAGGTAGGTGAATAAGGTCTTTGTGGGGAGATCTTAAATCTGAAAAAGGAAGAGTCTCATCAGTCTTGTGGACAGTGTCTTTGAAACGAAGAGCTATCTAACCAATGCTGAGCGATTCAATGATTGCGAGTAGTGGTCAAGGCTGGCGTGTACAGAGAAGAACTCATCTGCGAGGAAGGGGGAAGATAAACAAAAACCTGTTCTTAGCATACAACCAAATCTCTCTGGTATGGGCCATCGAGGATAATAAGGGCTGCTCTCGCAAATCAAGGGAAGAAGAACAAACTTAAGAGTCGAGGTGAACCAAGGAGATCCAAAGATATTCAATTTCCAACCATCTTTTAGGGGAACCAACTGCAGGCCAAGATGTTAAATGGCGAAAGTGTGGGGCGTGGTCTAACCATCGCGGTGTAAAGACGCTGTTCTAAAGAGCTCTGCAACGACAGGGGAGATATACCGGGTGAGCCGACTCTGTACCCTGCTCTCTCCATGATGTTGAAGAAGAAGACGGCCAGACTGTCCTGCACACAGACCCAGCCGAAAATGGAGGTGTTCTTGTCGCCAGCAGGTCGGGGGGGAGGGAGTCCTCGATTCCGGCCCTGCGGGCACCAGCTCTATCGGCTACACGCGGAGGTGAGGGAGGAGAGTCTGCGGGCCTCTGGCTTCTTCCCCGTCAATGCCTCTGTGCGAGTCGCCGGGGGCCCTCATCGGCTTCCCTCTCTCCAGCGCAGATGTGGGAGGACACCCCTAAACTCAGAGCAGTCCTTCGGGCACTACTAACGAAGGAGCACATACAGGCCATGCTGGGGCACTTCACTATGACGCTGAAAGGAGAGATGGAAGAGATCAGGGATGGCATGCTACAGACGGACCAACAGCTGGGAACCGTGGAAGTTGCTGTCACGGATGCAGCTGCCAGGATCTCAGCTTTGGAGGCAACTCCTTCCATTTCAATTAAATTTCGAGGATGGCGAGAGCCGCAATATGCGTAATAACATACGCTTACGGGGGTTACCGGAAGCTACCTCAGGGGCTGAGTTGAAGACAGCAGTGACGGCCATCTTTAACAAAGTGCTGGGTTGGCCGCCGACCACAGCTATTGTATTGGACCGTGTCCACCGCGTGATGGGCTTCTGCGCTCTGGCTGCGAGATGCATTATGCAGAGTGCATTTCTACACCCTAAAAGAAGACATCATACGTAAGTCGTGGAACGTGGGCACTAGGGATGCACCGATATATCAGCCGCCGAAACATATTGGCCGAAAATGGCCCTTTTGGCTAAATGCCGAAAGTACCATTTTTGTGCCGATACGTCGGCGCATCCCTGCTTTCTTTCCTCCCCACTGGACGCTGCTCTGTGGCGCTGCTCTGTGTCCCAGCAAGGAGGAGAGAAAGTGACAGCCGGCCGAGCCCTGCGGGAGGAAAGCGCTGTGAGCGGCCAGTGTCTCAACTCCCACACCGCTCGGCCGCCTATCACAGTGCGGCAGAGCGGTGTGTGGGCGGAGACAGCGCTGTCACAGGAGGCTGAGCTCTCCTCCCTGCACCGCTTGCTCAGCCTCCTGTGACAGTGTGTGACAGAGAGGAAAGCAAACAAACACTCAGCAATCGCTGAGTGTTTGTAGATAATTGAGGACGTGGTATGTGTACTATATCCTCAATTATGAATGAGTGGGAGTGAGCTACATCCCCTCCTGTTCATTCATAGTTGTAGTTATAGTAAACAAACATACTATATTCTCAAGTTATCAATGAACAGGAACTCTCATAGAGGACTCCTGTTCATTGATAACAGGGAATACAGGAAATGTCAGGGGTCTGTTTAGACCCCTAATATTTCCCCGAAGCCCCTAAAAGTAAAGTAAAAAATAAAAATATTTAATAAAAAATAAATAAAATGTGAAAAAATTTAAATAAAATGTTTTCGGTTTCGGCATGACAATTTTTTTATTTCGGTTTTTACATTTCTATTTCGGTGCACCACTAGTGGGCACAATTGATTTTGACGGGGCACAGATCCAACTTCTGCCCGATCTTTGCCGTCAAACACTACATAGGCGGCCTATGCTGGACCATCTCCAGGCGATGGGGATTTCGTACAAGTGGGGCTACCCGTTCTCGCTGATCGTCATGAAGGCTGAGCCCTTATTTGTCCTATGGTGCCCATCCCAATATGGTGACTTATCCCAGTCTTTGGGGTGTGGGGATCTGCCTGATCCCGATTAGCTGGAGCTGCTGGATGACGCCTGTAAGATCATACCGATGCAAGCTAGACCTCAAAGACGCCGAAGACTGCGCACCGAGAGAGCTCCCCGGGAACTGGCTGATCGTGAACCTGCTGCACCATGGAGCTAGCAGTCTTACGGTATCATTTGTTTATTTCCGTTTTTCCCTTTTTTGTGCGGTTTTGATCTGAGTATGGTCCCCCCAAGGGGGCTGTTCTGACCTTCACAATGACGCTAAAGTTTCCCCGCGGACCTCTAATAACAATGATCAGGTTGGAGTATGGGATGGCCGTCCTTGACGTTCCTCCCTTACAGAAATGTTATTCATGTAGAGGCCCAAATTCAGTATCATAGTAGGTATTGTGATAGAGTTGATTATTTTAAATTTAAATATCCTTGCCTTGCATCTCTTGATGCTGTCCTGGTATACTACTTTTCCCCATAACGGACGGTTCCTCACGTCATAAGGAGGTGGTTATAGGACCGTCCACGCTCTTGCAGATTTTACCCGACTGGGTTAGGTGTGTCCTCACCCGGTCCGGGTCCACTCCGCTTTTTGTTAAGTGACTTACTGTCACTTAAAGCATTTTGCTTCTCTTATCTCTTCCTCTGTTTTAGGTTTCCGAGATCCCAGTGGATAGCGATCTGTCGGGTTTCAGCTTTCCTCGATCCAGGTAGTTAATGTTACCTTGGCAACGATTTATGCTCCTTGAGACATGTCTGGCTCGCTTGGTTGAATTCGCAGAGGGAGTTTGGATCATGGGGGTTGACTTCAATATGGTTTTGGACCCTTCAGTGGACTCCTCTAGGGATATTTTACATCTAACTCATGCGCAAAGGAGACATGTGAAGAAAGTCCTCTTTAACCATTAGTTACTTGATGTGTGGCGCATAGCCCATCCCCGAGAAAAGGACTATACTTACTATTCGAGCCCCCACCACTCTTATTCTAGAATCAACTTCTTGCTACAACCTGCATCCCTTCCTTATGTCTCAAATGTCTCCATAGGCACCACGACACTGTCAGATCATGCCCCAATTCACTTGAGGCTTCTCTACGCAAGCAACTAGACCAGTTCTTTGTTAAGAATGATAATCCGGGTCAGAATCCGTTTACTATCTGAAAAACACACAAGTGCGTTATGCGAGGTGTCTTCATTAAAATGGGGTCTTGGCGCAAGACACCCTGTAGCCTCTGATCCGCACTATTCAAGTGACCTCGGACATTAGTGGAGTGGAAACGCGGTCCTTCCACCACAAAACAGCGGCATACGCGGACGACTTGTTATTCTATGTGTCTCGACCAGAGACTACCCTTCGAACTTTGATGCTCGAACTGCAGAAGTACGGTGCTCTCTCAGACTAAGATTCATTTCTCAAAATCGGAAATCTTGAATGTTTCGGTCCCAGCTCCGAGGGGACCGAAGCCAGTTTCTCATTCAAATGGAATGCGTCCCACATTAAGTATCTAGGAGTGCTTATCCCCGCAGACCTCAGGGACACCTTTGCGCTTAATTTCCTCCCTCTAAGTAAGCAGATTCAGAGCGATTTAAAATCGTGGGACTGTTTGATTTACACTTGGTTCGGTCGCAACAGTATTTTAAAAATTAACATCCTTCCCAGGTTGCTGTACTTGTTTCAGACACTGCCTGTGCCTGTCCTGTTACCTTTCCTGCAACAGTTGCGTACGGCCTTATCTTTTCTTTGGAGTAACACGAGAGCCCGGATTAAACTAGGAATCCTTACCAGATCGGAACTATCAGGGAGTATAGGGTTCCCAGACCCATGCATGTATTATAAGGCAGCCCATGTTGCGAGGATAGTGGATTGGTGTTGCAACACAGACAGCAAACTACGGGTGGGCTTAGAGCAAGCGACGCATGACCTCCCTATAACCGGCATCCCTTGGATAACACCTAAACTCCCCCTACGGTCCTAGCTCAACCCACATATACAGGCAACATCTTTGGTGATCCATCTAGTGAATGCGGCCAGAGTATGTGTACCAACTCGATGGAAACTGTCCTAACCGCCAACAGTGGCCATGTGGGTGGAGAGAGTGGAGACCAGTCTAATGGAGGACCTAACGTCTTCCCTACATGATCGCTGCCATCAGTTTATAGCTACTTGGTCACCATGGCTTGAGTTCCTGGAGACCTCTGACTTTTCCCAGGCATGTTCAGGGTGACTTATGGCCACTCCCGGTATCCCGGAGTTCAAAACATACCCCCTTGTATTTATTTTTAATTTTTTCTGTCCCAGACCTTGCTCCCGGTAGGCTACTACATTTCTCTTTCTTCTTGCTTTCTAGATCTTCACCTTTATTCTATGCCTTCTCTGGTTTATCTCAAGTCTAGGCAGTCTATGCTAATTGCCCTCCCTCTCAGGTTATACAGGAGATAGAGGCCTCTTGTGTAAATTTTTAGGTTGCAATGTTTGTGTATAAAAACTAAAAAAGGTTACTGCTCGGGAGCGGTGACAGGATTCCAGCTTCGGACAACGGGAGTTACACATGATTGATAGCAATGGAAGTTGTCACTCTACATGTTTTGAAATGCATGTTTACTTGGATTTTCCATCTGTATTATGGAAGTTATGACCATAACTTGTTTTTTTCTTTTTTTACTGTTCCCGAGTGGTTCATAAAGAATGTAAATGGCGAAAGTGATCTACTTTAAAGTATGTAGGCCCTTTCTAAGTGTGGTTCAACATTTATATACTTCTCCCTCCACCTCCATTAAATTGCCTCACATTTCAGGTAGGGATTCCCTCTTTTTCCCTTTTCCTCTTTGTTTTTATGTATTGAACCATTAGCTGTTCACAATCGGGTTAAGATTACGGCCAATAGCGTATTACCCTTTTACCCTCTTCGTAAATTTTTTGACAAACATAACAGGGTTTTCTTTACCACCAGTAAATCTTGCCTTTGTGATCTAATCTGTACGTTGTGACGATGTGCAAATAAAGAAGGTCCCAAGGACCGTTTCTGTTCTTAAGATTGGAGTTGGGCGTTAAGGTGGTGTGAGTTGAAGTTGGGAGTCCCTCTTCAATTTGGAAGACAGAGCTATACAGTGTCCACTAATTACTGTCTTATGAGCCTCCCACAGAGTACTAGAATGCGGTACTGAAGCTGCGTTAAGGAAGAATTGTTGCAAATTAGTATCAATTTGGGTTTTAGTAA